AGGGGCCCTTCCTTTCCTCCCAGTGGGGATGAAGCGTCTCTGGGGCATACCTTATTACCCTCACAAGGTGTGTTTTCTGTCTTGCTGCTTGCTCACTGCTCCTTTCCTGGGCTTTCCACTCAAGAGAGTAGGCTTTAGTTGGGGTCTTTGTTAGTGTTGGTATTTCCTGGTTACTGGCTTCTCCACAATCCGTTCTGGGATGTATGAGGTGAAACTCAAGGAAGACAACTCATGGGAGTTGTTCCTTGTGGCCCGTGGGCCCCTAGCCACTCTTTTGTCTTTGCACCTTTCGGTCTTTATGTTTTTTTGCATTTATAGTATCCAGAATTTTTACAGTAGAGGAAGGAATAGGGAAAATTATTCTGCCATTCCAAAAGCAAAAGTCTCTGAAGTATTTATTTTTTAAAGGGTACAATTTTTGTTGTTGCTTTTAAATTTCAATCTTCTGGTATAAAGAATTGTTTAGAGGAAAAAAGATCTGCTTTTAAGGACTGAACTGGTGTGATGTAACAGCGGGATGAGCAAGGTTCCGATCATGGTAAGAATTTCAGATGTAATCCTAAGTGTCCTGAAGACCACACCTTTCTGTGGAGTAGGAGGATAGTGGTAGTTGATGTCCAGGTTGTACCCTAGACCATTTACGTCATACTCAGAGGACAGAATCCAGGCATCAGTCATTTTTAAAGTTCTCTAGATGATTCTAGCATGTAGCCAAGATTGAGAAACACTAGGCTAGGGTAATGTTTCTAACACTTTCTTTTTTCTTGAAACAGAGTCTCACTTTGTTTCTCTCAGTAGAGTGCCATGGTGCCATAGCTCACAGCAACCTCAAACTTTTGGGCTTCAGGGATTCTCTTGCCTCAGCCTCCTGAGGAGCTGGGACTACGTCACAATGCCAGCTATTTTTTTAGAGATGGGGTATCTTTCTTGCTCAGGCTGGTCTTGAACTGCTACAATCCACTTACTTCGGCCTTCCACAGTGTTAGGATTACAGGCGTGAGCCACTTTGTCCACCCTGTAACATTTTCCTGATTAAAAATTCACTTGTCCATTCAAGTTCTATAGGAAGCAAGCGTCAAGATGGAATTAGAAGTGCAAGAGATTTATTGTGGGGAATCCTGTGATGGATAAAGAGGAAAGCCTGCAAGCTGCAGTGCCAGCTTGACACCTGTGAAAGGAGGATTGGGTGGAAAGAGCTCCAGCCTGCAGTGTAGCTCTGGGAAAATGTCAACCAGTTTGATAGGAAGCCCCAGAGTAAAGAGAAATCCCATGTCGGGCAGGGTTGGTCTGTTAAGTTGTCACCTGGGACAGAGGGTAGCCTCAAGAGGAGTGGGCAGTGCCGCGGGTCCTGAAGGTATGGCAGCTGGAAAGTGCCAGCTGGCCGCTCTTGAAGGAAGACCTGAGTAGCACACTTCTGTGCGTGTTTTAAAAACCAGATTCTAAGCTGCTCCTCTGAGATTACTGATTAATTATGTCTGAGGTAGAGACCTAGAACCTATACTCTAACCAGTACTCCTAGGTAATTTTTATGGTCATTCAAGTTTGTGAAGTACCAAGGACAATTGTTAAGACTGTAATTAGGGACAGAGAAAGGAATGTTTTTCACATTAGACTTGCTTGATGTAATTGGTACAGATGGATTTTCAGTTATGGTCATTAGAATATAATAGCTAAATGGCCAGGACCCTAACTAGTAATTTTAAGAAGAAAATGACTTTCTATTCTTTTTAGTCTAAAATGCAAACAGTACACATTCTATTGTTCTTACTGCATGAGGAACTGTACTCTGAAACTAAAGCAACAGTGTGTGGTATGAGATTATTTGTACAGGATTTATTGTAACCTGAACACTAACGCAGCGTAACAAAGAGCCCCATGCTGACACAGGTTGTATGTTATTATTATACAAACCTTTCTGTCCTCTTCAAGGGACATTAATTATTACTTATAAGGTTGAAAAGCGGTTTCCATAGCAGTTTTCTGTTGTTTTGCCTATCTGGTGATACGCTATGGAGGATTTTTGTTATATAAAACTACAGGTTGAGTATTTTTATTCAAAATGCTTGAGACCAGATTGCAGTACATTGAGCTTCACAGAGACATCGCCGGGGCAAGTGCGACGCAGATGGGCACTAAGTGAGGAAAAATAACTAAACATGGCAAAGGAGATGGATCCTAAGAAGCCGAGAGGCAGAATGTCATCATCTGCATTCTTTTGCAAACTTGGGAGAAGCACAAGAAGCAGCACTCAGATGCTTCAGTGAACTTCTCGGAGTTTTCCAAGTGCTCAGAGAGGTGGAAGACCATGTCTGCTAAAGAGAGAGGGAAATTTGAAGATATGGCAAAGGTGGACAAGGCCCCTTATGAAAGAGAAATGAAAACCTGTATCCCTCCTTAAGGGAAACAAAAAAGAAGTTCAAGGATCCCAACACACCCAAGAGGCCTCCTTTGGCCTTTTTCTTGTTTTGTTCTGAATATTGTCCCCAAATCAAAGGAGAACATTCCGGCTTATCCATTGGTGATGTTGCAAAGAAGCTGGGAGAGATACTGTTGTGGCTAAAAGCAGCCTCCTGAAAAGAAGGCTGCAAAGCTGAAGGAAAAATACGAAAAGGATATTGCTGCAGACCGAGCTAAAGGAAAGCCTGATGCAGCAAAAAAGGGAGTCGTCAAGGCTGAGAAAAGCAAGAAAAAGAAGGAAGAGGAGGAAGATGAAGAAGAAGATGATGAAGAACAAGTTGGTTCTATTGCAGCTTTTTTTCTTGCCTGTGAAACATTTAACCCCCCTGTACACAACTCCTTTTAAAGAAAAGAATTGAAATGTAAGGCTATGTAAGATTTGTTTTAAAAAAGAAAAATGTTTGAGACCAGAAGTTTCAGATTTTGGATGTTGGAATATTTGTGTATGCATAGTGAGATACAAGTGAGCACCATGAGGCTAGAACCCAAGTCAAAACAGGAAATTCATTTATGTTTCATACATACATTAGAAACATAGCCTGAGGTAATTTTACATAATATTTTTAATTTGTGCATGAAAAAAGATTTTAACTGTGACCTCTTACACATCATGTATGGAGTTGTTCACTTACTATGTCATGTTAGTGATCAAAAAGTTTCAGATTTGGATTTTTTGGATTAAGGATGGTCAACCTATACTAGTTTTTGAATGCTTAACTTTTACTAGGTTAAGTGTTTATATGTGTCATTGATTAACAATCCTGTAAGGCACATAATGCCAGGAAAGGGAAGTATACAGAGGTTAAGCAGTAGCTTCACTAAGAGCACAGAACTGGTAAGTGGATGCTTTAAATTAGGCCTCAAGTCTAATGTCCATATCTTCATCTCTATGAAAGGAAGAACTGTGTAGACCTAGGCACTTATTGATACATGAATCTTATACATTATTCCATTGGTGAGGATTAAAAAATGAATAGCATTGTTTGACCTTTCAAAGAATTTACATTATCTAAAAAGGGGTGGGAAGGGGGCTGCACTCATGGAAACAAATGCTTGCAATGCAGTATGATTATTTCTGGATAAAACAATTATAGTTTGTTTTATTTTGTATAATTTTTATGTCACGAAAAAATAATTTCATTTTAAACCACAGATTTGAAAGAGAAGATCTGATTGCCTATATTTACAGTTGGTACAGAAGACTGTTTCAACTCTAAAAATGTTGGAGGAAGATATGGAAGTGGCCATCAAGATGGTGGTTGTAGGGAATGGAGCAGTTGGAAAGTCAAGTATGATTCAGCGATATTGCAAAGGCATTTTTACAAAAGACTACAAGAAAACCATTGGAGTTGATTTTTTGGAGCGACAAATCCAGTATGTACTTGGCCATTTTGTCCCTTTGGTTTTGATTGGTGACCTGTGTCTAAGACTTTCATTGGAGTAAGGTTACCTAATTAGAGATCAGTCCAAGGTTAGGCAGCTAGGGGCAATTGATGGTGATTTTTAGTTACTCTTTACCATAAGTACCTTTATTCTTCTGTCTTTTCTCTTTCATCGTTTTCCCTTCCTCTCTGATTTTTTTTTCTTTTTTCATACACTATCCTCTCTTTTCCACCTTTTTTTTTTCTTCCTGACCACTAGACCACTGGGGAACCACCTTTTTTTCTTATCTTACCTGTTTTATATTTACTGGTGACTCCTTGGGTGCTTTCTTAAACATTGATGCTTAACTCTAATGAGATTTCCATTTGCTGTTTTATTTTAAATGTAAGTTACCTATTTCTTAGAATAAAGTTTTCATCTTTTGGGCTTTTTTTGTTTAGAATAGCTCTGGGTAAGACTGTCAAGAAGTTGTATAGAGTCTTTACAAGACTGTATAAAAGACTGTATAGAGAATTAATAATTTGCTTTTACTCTGGCAAAAATAAGAAAACAGACTTAGAAGGATTAAGTTTGCCTATACAGAGGGACTCTTACTTTAGGAATCCAGTTAGAACCTACAGAACATCTGAGTAATACTTTTTGTCATTAGTCTTAAAAACGTTTAAGGATTTTTTTTAAATTATAGGAGACAAATTAAACTGTATTACCCAAACAAGAAATATTTGGCAAATCTGACTTAATTGCCCAAGTTTAATATCAAAGATAATCATGATAATTATGTACATTGTTTTAAATAGTGTTTCATTGCTAATCTGTATTCTGTTATCCTATTACAGTTTTTTATTTGTTTATTTGGTTTTTAGAGATGAGGTATAGTACAAGCTCCCTGTACCCTTGAATTCCTGGTGTAAGTGATCCTCCTGCCTTGGCCTCTCAAGTAGCTGGGACTACAGGCACCTCCATGCTCAGTCAATTTGTTTTTTTTTTCCGTAGAGACAGTCTCACTATTATCTAGGCTGGTGGACTCCTGTCCTCAGGCGATCCTCTCACGTTGGCCTCCCAAAGCGCTGCGATTATAGGTGTAAGCCACCACGCCTATTCAGCCTCTCTTCTTTTTCGTATTTCCATATTTACCTGAAACCAGTTTAACTATTTTAAATATGTGGTTGATCATCATTATTTGTAGAGTCTATATTTGCAAATTCACATACTTACTAAAATTTATTTGTACTCCCAAATTAGTAGTTGTCATGTCTTGGGGATAACGTGTGGACATGCACAGAGCAGCAAGAAACTGGGGTTGCCCAGCGTGCACCTTCCCAGTTGAGTTTGTCAAACGGTGTGGCATTCTTCCTTCTTGCTTTGCTTCAGCTCTCACCCAGGAAACACGTGTCCTGTTCATGTTCTGTCTAGTGCCACATTTTGTATGTTTTATTGATGATTTTACAGATTTAAAAGGCCGCCAAGGATAATGCCGACATGCTGTTCAGTGATCCCAAGGACAGGAAGGCCATGATGTATCGTATGGAGAAAGTACATGTGTTAGATCAGCTCCATTCACACATGACTTACGGTGCTGTTGGTAATGAGTTCAGGGTCAGTGAATTTAAAATATATAGTTATAAGGTAGGTTTCAGTAGGTTATATATTGATCAGTTGACGAAAATGTAACCAGAAGTTGTCAGGAACCTGACCCTGTATTTCCCCTAGGAGCAGTAGTTCAGTATTGACAGTGACAGAATAGAACTACTCGGAATAGTGAGAATGAACTGTATAACAAAGTAGAGGAGATTTTAAGGTAAAGGGTATCCAAGCAGGTAAACTGCTTTTCCCCTTCTTACTCTCATTCTATCTTCAAGGCACCAGGACCCATTAGGAGGGTATAGGAAAAGGAGAGAATCCCCTCTCCCAGTACTGCTCATCTCACAGCCACCACTGTGACCGTTGTCAAAGAAAGAAATATGGCAGGTAAATCCAAGTCATGCAGAAAGCTGGAGCTGAGAAGTACTCTGACTTTTTCAGAGTGAAGCTGACAGTGTGCAGCTGGTCCCAGTGGTTCGCCTAATGATTTTCAACTTTGCTGTGGGTTTATTAGGACATACTCCTTCTTATTAAATTAAGGAGTAGCTGCACTTAGAATGGTTTCACTTATGGTTTTTTACTTTACTTTTACTTACACTATTTTTGACTTACAATGGGTTTATCAGGATATAGCCCCCAGTGGATTTACTGGAATCTAATCCTATTGTTAGGTGAGAAGTGTGTGCAGTTTTATGCCTTTGGATTTGAAAAATAAAATTATACACAAGACTATGCTACCAGAAATATTTTCCTTTACTTACGAAATAAATTTATCTCTTGTTTCAGAGTTAATGATGAAGATGTCAGACTAATGTTATGGGATACTGCAGGTCAAGAGGAATTTGATGCAATTACAAAGGCCTATTATCGAGGTAAAATGCAGGTGCTATTTATTTTTTTGTGTGGGAATGTTATTTTGGCTAAGTAAAGAGCTTCACTTTCTTTGTTTCCCAAATAAGAGTTTGTCTCTAAGAATAGTTAAAATAATTGCAGAGTGTTTTTAAAATACTTTCCCTAGTCATTATTTTTCCAAAGATCTTATAAAGTGGCAAATAACACTTTGTACCGTAGGCATTTTGTCTCTGCCTTAAAATTATACGACTCATTTAGGCATTCCCAGACTAAATCAGTCAAAAACTGTTAGATGCCTACTCTGACCCCCAAGGAAATGACTACATAATCAGAGAGTGGAAGCTAACATATGAAAAATAAAGTCACTGCAAATACGATGGCATTTTGTTATGTCATGTGTGAAATCACACAGTAAAGCCTTTGCAGCACTGTAGGAATTCACAGATGTGTGAGATACTTGTGAGAGGAAGGAACCGTAACTGTAGAATGTAAAGCTCTAAAATGTGGACTGAAGGCCAGGTGTAGAGGCTCATCCTTGTAATCCTAGTACTCTTGGAGACTGAGACGGGTGGATTGCTTGAGCTCAGGAGTTCAAGACCAGCCTGTGTAAGAGTGAGACCTAGGACGTCCCACTTTTCAACAATTTGTCCTGTGTCCCTAGGCATTTTTAAAAAGTCCTGATTTTTGTAAAGAATGCACGAACGGGCGGGAGAACAAGAAGGGAATATACGGTTTTCGGCTGCCATGTGGCTATTTCGCCAGAACATGAGTTTTATATTATTTTTGTTAATTTTATAATGTTAAACTGTAATAATAACAAATAATTGCTGAGAAGTGATTATAGAGAACTGCTTATCAAAGTTTGCATTGTTGTCAGGCCCTGCCCTGCCCCGTCCCCCACCCCCACCCCGCCCTCTGGCCATGTTGTCCCGCCTTATAGATGTTAAAATCTGGTCACCCTACCCTAGTGAGACCCCATCTCTAAAAAATAGGTAGGAGTTGCGGCAGATGCCTGTAGTCCCAGCTACTTGGGAGGCTGAGACAAGAGAATCACTTGAGCCCAGGAGTTTGAGGTTGCAGTGAATTATGATACCATGGCACTCTACTGAGGGTGGGGAAAAAAGTGGGCTTAAATTCCTTAAGAAAAGCGTAAATTGACTCAGCACCTGTGGCTCAAATGGCTAAGGTGCCAGCCACATACACCTGAGCTGGCGGGTTTGGATACAGCCCGGCCCGCCAAACAACAATGATGGCTGCAACTAAAAAATAACCAGGCGTTGTGGTGGTGCCTGTAGTCCCAACTACTTGGGAGGTGGAGGCAAGGAGTCCGGGAGTTGGAGGTTGCTGTGAGCTGTGATGCTATGGCACTCTACCCAGGGGGACAGCTTGAGGCTCTGTCTACAAAAAAAAGAAAGAAAAGAAAAGCATAAATTAAACTTTCAAATAGAACTTAAAGTTTCCTTTTAACATTTTCCTTTAAAATTCAATCCTTTTCTTTTGGAATTTAAAATTCTGTTTTGAGCATTCCTTTAACTCACTGCCAACGGTAATTGAAATGAGAGGACACAGTAATTGAAAGCTGTATCAAGTACTATGTAATATTACGGCATGTTGATGCCAAGTAAATGCCTATCAATTGATAATTCCTATTGCCAGGCATTTAATACTCTGAATTTCCTAGATGCTGTGGGATATAGAAAGGCACAGTTGACAGATAAACACTGATGATTCCTTCTCTGACAGAACCTTTTTTCTGAATTTTTCACTTGTAAGTAAACTTGATTGTGTCCTAAAGACACAGCTGCCCCTGCTGCCTTCTGTAGTGGTGGCCGTCTTTTTACCCACATCCCCACATACCCGTATTCTTCAAGACCTGAAGGATGTTGTACAGAGGCATCTTCCAAAACTTCAGCACACTGAAGGGCCAAGTCATGAGACTTCTGCCTACCTCTGATGGCCCCTAGGTGCTGTGGTCCCCGGACTTTGGCTTATGACTCATTTTCTTGTCCTCTTCAAGGCCTACAGTCTTCTTTATTACTGCTAAAATCTAAGCCTCTTCTGTCTCTAACTCTCTAACCACTATTTCATATGATTCTAGCTTGTTAACTTTAATATTCAGAGTCTTAACTGTCCTTAAAATCATCGAGAATGTCTATTCACTTACCCTGCCACTTTTAAATTTATCTTCCACACGACTTTACTTCTATCTTTCCTTAGACTTATTTTTCTGGTTCTGTAAACATTTGCTTACAAACACCTTTAAGTCCTAAACTGCCCTCTGCAAATTACTTGCTCAGCAGACGTTCGATCCAGTTACCACCAACCATCTACTCATGTGCATCCGTGCACCTGAATCTTATGGAGAATGTCAGACGAACCATTTGACTGAACTCTGAAGTTACAGTCATGTGACTTTAGTGAGTACTCACTGCTGTCAGACACTTCAAATACACTTCCTCACTCAGGTCTTTTTGCCATTTTCCAAAAGAGCGATTTTATGCTTTCTCTCACCGTAACCCTTCAGAATCCCTTCCTCCTCTCCACTTGCAGTTGATTTTCTTGCTTTGTTCTTCTTGGAGAAAATAGATACCATCAAATGAAAACTATTTTATTCTTCTATCAAATTACTTCTTTTTTTTTTTTTTTTT